TGTATATATATATATATATATATATATATATATATATATATATATATATTAATGAATCATTCACAAAAAAACAAATATAGAGGGTTAATGATTTAAATGGCGAGAATACATCTTCGCCAACAATACATCCTCAGAAACAGACGAACGCTTGTAAAAATTAAAAGACCTTATGCAACTGGAATTTATGAACAGGGATCATATCATTCATATACAGATTCGGGGTTTATGTATCTTATTTATATTGTTTGCGAAGATGTATTCTCGCCATTTAAATCATTAACCTCTATATTTGTTTTTTGTGTGAATGATTCATTAATTTATAAATTATAATTTGCACCTTTAATTGAATATATATATATATATATATATATATATATATATATATATATATATATATAAATATATGGGTATATATACATATATGTATATATATATATATATATATATATATATATATATATATATATATATATAGGAAGAGTCAACTAACCAATACTTCTGGCTTTGCTATTGTTGAGCATATAATAAATAGTAGGAAATGTGTGGTTAATTTTAGTGCGGACCGTTTTTTGATTTTATCTACGTTCCTCTCCACATTTCCCCTCAAATTTCTCGAGTCCTTGTATAACAGATCCCGTGGGCCTTCCCTCTGTAAACAGAAGGTATGCTTACTGGGTCTGAATGTTATTGGATTCTTGTTTCTTGAAATTCAGTTTTTTTTTCTTCCCTTCCATTCGTTAAATTAATTTACACGCTTTTATAAATTTTCTATTCCCCGAAAAATAAATTTGATAAAACCTGGGACGAAACCGGTGTGTTTTTTTTTTTTTTTTTTTTTTTTTAGCTTTTTTTTTTAAAATGCCTTATAAAATTGGTCTTTTCGTCGCTATTATTAAATTCTGTACCACAAAAAACTTAAATTAAATATATATATATATATATATATATATATATATATATATATATATATATATATATATATATATATGTATGTATGTATGTATGTATGCGTGTGTGTGTGTGTGTGTATTCCTATCAATTTATACATCTATATATCTGTCTATCTGTTCATATGTGTCTGTCTATTTATTTTTCTGTCTGATCATAACTATCTGTCTGTCCTTTTCTCTATATATATAAATATACATCTATTAATATATATATATATATATATATATATATATATATATATATATATATATGTTCTATCTATCTATCTATCTATCTATCTATCTATCTATCTATCTATCTTCTGCCTGTGTGTCTATTCCTATATATATCTATCTACATATCTATCTAGCTGTTTTAATTTATGTATATATCTCAGTCTGTCCATACATTTCAGATCTTCTTATACCGACATAACATATCTATCTATCTATCTATCTATCTATCTATCTATCTATCTATCTATCTATCTATCTATCTATCTCTTTCTCTCTCTTGCTATATATATATATATATATATATATATATATATATATATATATATATGTGTGTGTGTGTGTGTGATGGCTGTGCATGTGTGGTAAGCATTAGAATGAATGTCTGCTATTTAATTCTTCTAAAATCCTTAAATATTGAATTCTGATTATCCTTACTAACACCCCTTGGAAAGGATTTGCAAACAATGCGAAAATAGAATTCAGTCCTAGATCTGCTTTTGATTGTGTGTTAATTTAAGTTTCCAATAAGTACCGCATATATATAATATATAAATAATATATATAAAAAATTGCATATATATATATATATATATATATATATATATATATATATATAAATGGTGGTACTCGCTTGGAAAAACCTTGGATAGTTCGACTTGTAGAAGAACAAATCGGTACCCAAGGAAAAATGAGGAATAAAAAAAGAACCAATAACATCAAACTAAGACGAAAACAACCCGTCCTGAGTTGAAGCTCAAATTCCAAAGAAAACAAAACCTTCATAACGAGTAAAAAGCAACTACTTAATGTGCTCAATACACGAAGTAGAACAAAACCTACGATAATCATAAGGACCAGGAACACCTACCTAGGTTTCACCTAAACAGATCGCCAGGGCGATATATATATATATATATATATATATATATATATATATATATATTTTTTTTCAATACTTCATGAGTTTGCGATCCTTAGCAATGATTTTCATTTGTGATCGACTTCATCACGATTCTTCTGTTAACCTTGGAAAGTAATTATACATTCTTATTGCTCAAAGTAGAAACCAATAGTTTTATTAAAACCCCATAGAATTCCAGTAAGATACATTTAATCATTTCTAAGGGCCAACGGTTCAGAACTTAATCTAACAATTGGACAATTTTGCTGTTACACGATTTAGACAATTTTGCTGTCACACTCAGTGACAGACGCTGAGACTCCTTGTGGGCGACTCTCCACGACTTTCTTCTCTTGTAACTCTGAGCAATATGTACCCTATACTCTCTCTCCCAGTCCTTGCCCTGTCATCAATATACACAAGCTCTTGATGT